CCCCCCCCCCCCCCCCCCCCCCCCCCCCCGACATTTAATCATAGGAGTGCGTTTCTGTGTTGAGCACTTACTGCGAGTGGCCTCTGTGTCTGCAGTCGGTGGACAATCTGTTCAAATGAAAACTAAGCGATAGAGCTTTTTCTTAAAGCTATAAGTCATCATTTTAACAATCTCTTCTGAATATTCATCCTTTCTAAAAATGGTCAGAACGTCGTTAATGTTCTCTCTTTATCCTTCTTCAGCAGCAAGACGGAGCCGGTGGACAGTGAGACGGTGATCAGAGCGCGAGGGCTCCCATGGCAGTCCTCAGACCAAGACATTGCTCGCTTCTTTAAAGGCCTCAGTATTGCCAAGTATGTTCCAATAGCCCCACTATTTCTATCATTTTTATTCAAAGCTTCCAACATGTTAGTCAGGGTGCAGATTTAGCTACATATTTTAGTGTTTGTAGATCATTTAAAGTACTCTTTTTAAATGTCAAATGGAACCCTCCAAGATTAGTATGAAATGGTAAAGTCATTGGCTTAAAGGCTCTTAGCATTTTTGGCTAGAATAGTCGTTTGAACATCAAAACCTCATTATTAGAAAACTATGGACACTCTACGATTAGAGCTGCTTTAAGCTTTTATCAGCTAAAATATGATGCTACATAAAATGTATAATAAAAATAGTTTTAATTAAGTATAAAATTAAATAAAAAAATCTCATACCTGTGTGCCGGATAGAAAGTCCCTAAAAAAGGGAGCTCTGTTAAAGTATCACCATTAACTGTGTTCTTACTCATGAGTGTATCTGTGCACCGGTGTGTCAGGGGTGGCGTGGCCCTGTGTCTCAACGCTCAGGGCAGGAGGAATGGCGAGGCCTTAGTTCGCTTCATCAACTCAGAACACAGAGACCTGGCCCTGGAGCGCCACAAGCACCACATGGGCAGCCGCTACATCGAGGTTAGACTCCGCATTTAACTCGTGCTCATACTGTGTTTTTAAAATATGCTCGGCTGAACACTAGACCCGTCTTTAAGTCCTTAGGTAGTTGATGCGAGTCTGTAAAATGTCTTCTAAACTAAATAATGCTCTTCATGGCTAAACCCAGTTTTTCCTCTTTTCTTTTCTTTTCAGGTCTACAAGGCCACAGGAGAGGAATTCCTCAAGATTGCTGGAGGTCAGATTTCAGATCTCTTTTTTTTTTTTTTTTTTTTTTTTTTTTTTTTTTTTTTTTTCTTTTTTTTTTTTCTCTCCTCTTCTCACTGTGTTTGTATGAGGACTCGGGGTGAAAGGCTTCCTGTTAGTGTGGGGTAGACTTTTATTTCATGGCCTTCCCGCTTCTTTGAGGAAAAACAAGACCTACATCTGTAAAAGAGCAGCTCTTCAGTGACCGTAAAACAGGGGATCTCATTTGCGCTCTGGCTCTCTCGCTCTCTCTCTCCTGTTACCTGTGTCTTTGACTCATCCCAGTGACTCTCCAGCAGCTTATCTTGGACTAATGAAAGACTCTTTGTGAGGCGCTCCCCCCACCGCCCCTCATCGCTTCCTAACCTCCTCATCCCCTGCCCAACTTTTCAGAGGCCTGTGGGACAGAAAGTTCCCTCTCGGCTAACAGCAGCTCACCTGTTCAGTTCAGCCTCGAAATGCACTCTCCCCCCCCCCCCCCCGAGGGAGAGACGGCTGCAGGTCGGTGAAAGGGCCGGCTCAGTGTTGATACAAAAGGGGTGTGAAGAGACAAAAGCAGGGCCCGGGGTCTCTGGACCACAGAGCAGCAGTCACACAGAACAGAGATAGCAGACAAAGAAACACAGTCACACGGAGCAGATAACTTGCAGCGGCCACCAGTCCGACTGTGGACTTTATTCAGATGAGTAAAGATCAGTACAGATTGACAGCATGTTGGACTTTAAGCAAATAGTTCAAGCAGACAAGACTGCTGCGTGGATCAAAAGAAATGAATGCAGTTCACAGTAAACGTGTAAATGAAAATACAATCCAAAACATTTAGTGTATCGGGCAACATCATTGCTGTTATGGAAAATTAAATTAGGTATCATAGCTGTTTTAATTTGACCTTTTACAATAAATATGGGCTGCAGTCTCCTGCTGGCTGGTAGTAGAAGGAACAACACAATACACTCTTAAAAAGTAAAAACAAAAATTGCGGCTAGTCAGTAAAACAGTTGAGCAGTAATAAACAAACCATGAGCCACTGAACTTTATATCCAAAAACGTTTATTTCCTTGATCACTGGATGACAAGTCGATCGTATATTTTGATCATCGAAATGCTTTAAGTTGTCTGGACATGTAGTTTAATTTGTTGCGTCTTCTGTGTTTTTTACAATAGTTACAAAGCGGTCACAGAAAGCCATTCAGGTGAAACAACACTTGACTGGTCATGGCACTGTCTGCACACATACCGTCTGTATACATGTCTGTGACCTGGGGTCAGTTGGTTTAACAGCACTACTCCAGATGGGGATAGTTGCAAATTGAAGGGTTGCGTGAACATATATCTTTATTTTTTGCAAGTCTCACAAGATTGGAGAACAGACGCAGGTGATTGTGTGATGGGGGTCAGTGAATACAGCGATGCCTTGGTTCAGCTGGCTGGGCAAAGCCAGTATGACTCTCTGTTTGCAAATCAGCCATTTAGCCTGTAAGAACGCCGCACTTTAGATGTTGTTCTACTTCTTTGCTGCCTAAAACTGGATGGTAGTGCTTGCAACTGTGGAAGGAGAAGCTAGGGTAGAGGCGCTGAGAGATAATGTTCAAAATGTTTTTATACCAAGGTATCTCTCACTTTGATTGGCAAGATGTTCCACAATGGCCTTGAGATATTAATTAGCGTGATTCCTTTATGGCAAACTTATGATTAAATACCTTTTTAGTTTTAAATTTGCTGGATCAACCAAACACCGGCATTACTGTCTGGATATTCTATGCTCTGGGATGACATCTCTTTGGCTCAAACTGAGATATCTCCACAACTATTGGATGGATTGACCATTGAAATTGATGTTAGAATGCTGATGTTAGCATTTTGCTGAATGCACCACTGTGCCTATTTACAGCCTCACCGAGCTGCCGGCATGGCTGTAGATTTTCTTGTTCCAATAAAAATGTTCTTAACAGATTTTTGTGAAAAACCATGGTGTATATCGATATCGCAGTATAGAATAAGATGCATCCCGATAGAGGATTTTAGCCACTTCTACTGAGTGAAGTGTTGTCATCTTGAAAGCTTCACTGAACTGTGATCCCTGGGATGGTCCTAAGATGGCCAGGTGTTTAATCACTGCTGTCCTCTTGACTCTAGGTACGTCGAACGAGGTGGCCCAGTTCTTGTCCAAAGAGAACCAGGTGATCATCCGTATGCGGGGGTTGCCATTCACCGCCACCGCCCAGGAAGTGCTGTCCTTCCTTGGACCCGAGAGCCCAGTTACAGATGATGCCGAGGGTCTGCTCTTCGTCAAGTACCCTGACGGACGGCCCACTGGCGATGCCTTCGTGGTCTTTTCTTGTGAAGAGTACGCGCAGAACGCCCTGAAGAGGCACAAGCAGATCCTGGGGAAGCGGTATATCGAGCTTTTTCGGAGTACTGCAGCTGAAGTGCAACAGGTAAATTCTGTTGTTAGGGTGGGACACATCTTTGAGCTGTACGTTTTTGACATGATGTGGGGGAAAAAAAAAAAAAATGTGCTGACGGTTTCAAAATAGATGTGATTTAAGAAATAGCATTGGTGTCGTTTATGTAACATGAGGTGGACAAAGGAAAGATTTAGTTTCCAGGTTCCGTGTGCAAGATGATTTATACATTTTAAGTTTGTTGTGTAGTTCCTGAAATTTCTGTTTCAAAATAACATTAAGACGGAAAAATTGAAAAGGGGATCTTGTGGCTTTGGCTTTCTATTTCAGACATAAACATGTTTCCTTTGAGTACTTTCTGAAACATAATTATGATAAATATGTTGACAAATCTATGCATTTTATTTTCTTGCAATTTAAAAAAAAAAACAAAAAAAAAAAAACTCCTTCTTGGGAAAGGCTTTTTGTCATCGATAAATAATAAATAGGTTCACTTTCTATTTGTGACACCAGTCGACATGAGCGGACCAAAACAGAGAGGTTGGTAAGGAACTGATGTCATGACAACAAAGAAAAGTGGCAAAACATTGTTCTGACGAAACAGTCGCGACGTCCACTAAGTCAGAGGACTGTTGAGTTTGCACAACTGAAAATAACATTGTTATTGCGCAATGCATACGTGTATATATTTAGTATTAATCACTGTGAGAAACTGTTGTGACCGTGTTTACCTTCAGCTGGTTCCTGTTGGCTGTGAATGTTTAACACATTGATCAACTCTGATTCATCCTATTATTTATTTATTTTTTCTGTCTAATTTACATATGCAGAACAGTTCAACGATTGGAGTCGAGCTTTCTTTTGACACTTTCTTCGTTTGCAGAAAACGAGCAGTGATGACGTGTGATTCATCGACGTCTTCTTCTTTGTCCGCCAGGTCCTGAACCGCTACATGTCCGCGCCTCTGATCTCCACACTTCCCCCTTCACCCATCATGCCTGTCCCCGTTCTCGCCACACCCCCCTACCTTCCAGCGGCCAGCAGCACCCGCGACTGTGTCCGCCTCCGCGGCCTGCCCTACACGGCCGGCATTGAAGATATCCTGGAGTTCATGGGAGAGCACACCGTTGACATCAAACCCCATGGAGTCCACATGGTCCTCAACCAACAGGTCAGACTGCTGGGGACTCGTAGGCTGTAAAGCTCCGTCTCTTAAAACCATTATAAATGTCATCCCCCTTCACGGCTCTTTATCAGAAATCACTACAGTAAAAGAGAAGTATTGTCGTACAAGTGTAGCAACGGCTAAAAGACAAAGAGGAAACTTGGATAAGAAGCCTACTTTACTGCTTTACAATGATTGCTTTCCCAACAGATTTATTTTTCTTCAGACAAAATAACACTGATGCTGTCTAACCACCACACGAATGCAGCATTATAGTCAGGAAAAATGTAGCTGTATTTAAGATCTCAAGCTGTGACAGATTCTATAGAATCTAACTTGATATCCTTGCCCTATCCATAACCAGCTTTTAGCCGAAGACATTATTGTTTGGCAGTTAAAATGCCACCTCCTTTGAATTTCAACTATTGCTGTATCCTTGTTCTCATTGTCTTTAATTCATTCTGTCCGTCGTCTCTGCAGGGTCGGCCCTCCGGTGACGCTTTCATCCAAATGAGATCCCCTGACAAGTCGTTTATGGTGGCCCAGAAGTGCCATAAAAAGACCATGAAGGACCGGTATGTCGAAGTGTTCCAGTGCTCCACAGAGGAGATGAGCATTGTGTTGATGGGAGGAACCCTGAACCGCAGCGGCCTCTCCCCTCCACCCTGCAAGCTTCCCTGTAAGTGAACTCCACCAGATGGTTTGTCAAGCCACCAATTAAGCCTTTTTAGTAGTATTTGTGACAATGTTTGGATTTTCTGTTTTATATCATGTATATTTATTGGGACATATTTCATACCTGCATCCTTCCGCTGACATCCAGTCAATTTAGCTTCAAGCAAGCTTATTTTTTCTCTTTCATATCCTAGAAATCTGTAGTTATACTCCGGTTACGTCTCTGCCTTCCTTTTGAAACAATGATGCCAGTTGAGGCCGGACTGAATGCAACTCTGTACTTTACTCTGTTTATGGTTCATATCTGTCTTTGGTGATTAGATTAGGATTGTCAGTCACGTGAGAGTACCTTCAATTTTTACTTTTCTGTGTTTCTTTTTAATGGTCATTGATAAACTAATCTTTACCGATTTGTATCTCTGCTTAATAGTTTCCAGAGAAATGTAGTTTTGCCTTTCACCCACTACAATTAGAGTGACAGTGCTCTCTTTTTGCATATAGCTTCAACCGGACTAACCTGGAAACACTTGAGCCCCCACAAGGCCAGCAGTGTTTAGTGCCCCTGTGTTGGCACTGAGGTAGACCACAGCTTGATAGTGGCTGTTTGTATGTAAACACATCTCTGCTGGCATTTGAGTGTGTTTACATTGTAGATGTGACAGCCTGAAGGACACGGTTGGCTCATGGTGCTGTCAAGTTTAGTTGTACTGTTGAAATTCCCATGCAGCATGTTGTAGCTGTCCATTTACTTCCTTGTGCTACACTTTACGACTGGCAGGACTGTGCATGCGCTGAACACAACATGTAAATGACTACACGCTCTTTGTCTGTTTCTGCAGGTCTATCTCCCCCCACAGCCTATGCTGCCTTCCCCACCCCGCCTGCCATGCTTTCCGAGGCTGCCCTCTACCAGTCCCCCCTGCTGGCTGCTCCCAGACCACATCACACGGTCACACACAGCCCAGCTCACACTCTGGCCTACTACCCCCCTCAGCCGCACATGTATATGAATATGAACATGAACTACACCGCTTACTACCCCAGGTTAGTACATCATCAGCTACAGCTGACTACTCGGTCATTTGTATCTTCTGCTCTTCTCTAACTTCTCTCCTCTTTTGTTCTGTCTAACATTTCCTCGCTCTCCAGCCCCCCAGTTTCTCCTTCCACAGTTGGCTACTTTGCAGCCCCACCGGGATCAGTGGCAGCAGCAGTCGCAGCCCAACCCCATCCTGCTGCAGCCACCGCCTCTTCTGTGCTGCCTCAGCACGGTGCACTGGTGAGGATGCAGGGCCTGCCCTACAACACTGGAGTCAAGGACATTCTCAGCTTCTTCCAGGGCTACCAGGTCAGCACATGTTGCACTGAAATAAAGGTGTTTTATAGGGATGTGAGGGAAAACCTATCGTGGTATTTTTATTCAACTGTATGAGTGATATTAGCTCCGTTTGTAAAATGCTCGTACACTTGGATTTAAACTGCGAAGGCCCACTGTGGTGTTGCAGTAAGTTGTGCCATCCAGCAGCCACTTGATAGTGATGGTAAATGTAAATGCTGACCAGTATACCAATAGACAGTGTGTTTAGCTTTATCTTGTTGATTGTGAACTCTTCCCTCAGCCTGCAACCCCAGATTTTACAGTCTAGAGCTGTTGGGACTGCTGAGCTCTCGACCCTGCAGCTAGAAAGATTTACCCGTTACCATTGGTGCTTTTTATTGCAACATTTAATTAAGAGACATGTGTGCACTTGTGCTCTCCTCCCTTTTCTGTGCTGCCCATATTTTTTGCTGGCACTCCAAAGTAGGTGGAGTCATCTGAAGCAGGTATGAACCCTGACGGGTGTGGCTTCAGATGGTTTGGTACGTCGGGGAGGGAGGGGGGGGTGTTGAGGTGGAGGGGTGGAACTGGTGTTGTGGCACAGATATTTGGGCTGCTGTTGGTCTTTACGGCTTATATCATTTAGTAGTGGTTAAACCCTTATACTTTGGTGTGTGTTTTTGTGTGTGTGTCTGAGAGCCTTACTGTGGGGGGGGGGGGGGGGGGGGAGCCAGCATCAAATTCACACAAAATGAGAACCTGCATTCTGTAGAACTTGACATGCTGAACACTGCATGCGTGTATGTGTTATTATGCTAGGCTTGCTGCGGTATTCGGTGTTACACGGTGGACAGGCATACACTGATTACATTACTTGGCCACCGTACCGACCGTCGTTTTGCTTTTTTTTTAAATAGAAATAAAACCCATTTAGTTCATATCGGGTCCAATGTCAGCATCATGTTAATCAAATAAAAAAACAACCCTACTTTGTAAAATACACCTGTTATTGATTGTTAGTCGGACGATGAACAGCAGCACAGAGTAGCAGGAGTCGGATATCACTGATCACGTGACAGCAAAGGTGCCTATTTGGAAACTCGTATTTAAACCAACTGTTTAAAGGAAACCTGATAACATTGAGGCAATCTGTGAACTTTTGTTATGAAGCCATTTGGAGGACGGCATGAAATCGAGGGGTCGCAGCTGGAAGGCGGCACCAGGTGGACACATGCGGTCCCGCAGCTTAACTGGAGAGGCCAGACGCACAGCCATCGCACATTAAATATCAAAGTAAGCGCTCCACAGACATTGAGCTTATCTTTCCATATGAAATGTCCAGTGTAATCGGTAACGCCAGAGTTTATTAACCGTTGGAAAAAAAATAAAAAATGTCCTGGCATTGTGTGTGTGTGTGTGTGTGTGCGTGTGCGTGTGCGTGTGTGCGCGCGCAAAGCTGACTCCAGACCTGACTGTTGGCTGAACTATCGTAACTGTATCCTTAACGGAGTGAGTGTGTGTTTTTCTGGCTGCAGTAGCGTCTCTCACACTGGCCCTGGGTGAGAAAACTTTTCCCACACAAGTGCTGGTGTAGTTTACCAGACAATCCTATGTTTCAAATGTATCCTGTCCAGCCAGGATTTGGTCTGTGCTTCTGCTTTGGTGTGTTTGTCTTCCTCAAAAGTATTTTTTTGTGTGTGTGTGTGCCTCTGCATCTTGTGTGTATCTAAAACTGTGTACTGTTCATTTGTGAAACAATGTGGAGGCCTCCCACCCTGACTGTGCGTTCATTACTATGCTATCTGTAGTACGCCCCTGACGAGTACAGCAGCATGGTTCAGATGAGCGAACAGGCCAGGAGTCTGATTCAGCCCAAAGAATGGCTCTGTCTTTAGGGACTCACCCCAAGGTAAGAGGAGCCACCCGACCAGAGAACCAGCGTGGAAAGAGGGGGCATTTCCTACACTTCAATCACATCTATATGTTTAGGCTTATGCACAATATGCAGCAATGGACTAGCATCAAACTGCCCAATAAGCACTGACACATCACATATTATTATGCCCACTATTGATACTTTGTGCAACATAAGCTCTCCAATGTAAGTTCTTTCCATGAGAACAAATCAATACACGTAAGCACATTATACACATTCTACCAATCTAAACAGGAATGCCCGATCTAGCCAACATGGTTCTACGCTCCTGACCCGGCATGTCGGCCTGCTGCTTCCCAAACAAATCTGCCTCATGACTGAAGTCTCTCCTGTATGCCTGTTAGGAGTGCTGAGTCTGTATGAAATATTAGGGAAATGTATTGCTGTTGTGGATTATCAGCTCAGTTTTACAACTTGAACTTGTGGCAGCCTCGCCTCCTGCAGATACTTTGCATATTGCATGATTTGCAGAAGATGATGTTCTATGCAGGAAGTTTGCTCTAAGTTGAAAAAAAGATGAAAAATGATTTATCTTAGGAAAAGATCATAGAAAACCTAAATCTTATGTTCAAATAGTTGTGTGAAAGGTTGTAAGACGATATCATGAAGATATCTGATTGTCAGACATCTTCAGGTAATCTGATTGCAGGGTTTTCATTCAAAGTGAACATTACCGTATAGGATTTCACCCACTCACACAACCTGAGCCCGAGAGGAGGAAACCAGTACATCACTCTGGTTTCATGTTTCATAAAGAGCCTGCAGACACCAATGTCCTGCAGTCACGTGAAGACTATTTGTATTCCTCTTCCTTAGGGAGACTTGAGACCTTCACAAACAATTAACAGATAACGTGGTGTTTTACCACTCTTTGTTTGTCTCAAAGCGTTTAGTTAAAAGCTAGCTGTAGTTATATTTCACCAAACGACACGGTTTATATACCAAGCACTACTCACTTAATTGAACAGAGAAAGATTACATGCGTTCATGTTCTGCCTCTGCTAACAGAAGAATTGATTTAGGATCACTGATGAGTCTTGATTCAGTACCCGTCCGACACTAAACCACCTCATGAGTCCTGAATGCATCGTCTCCCTCTCTCCTGCTCCGACATCCTCTTAACTTTTTGACTTAATGGATTTTTACTGCCATCGTTGCTAATGTGATCAGTGAGTTTGTTTCTTATCTGCATGTTTTAAGGAAACCTTTTCTTTTTTGCATCGAGCTTTATTTTCATGCAAGCCGTGGATGCATGCATACTTACGGATGGTTACTGTGTGGCGTCACAACCTGCCTCGTGGGTTTCAGGTCCTCTGGGAACAGCATGTACTCTGCTTTCGCTCTATAAGCGCTACCCCGTTAATCTTTTCTTTCTCTCTACCTAACTGAACCGGTTTGATGAGGCGATCTTTTCAAAGGTCATTGTTCATCCTCTGCTTTCTGAGCTCCCCCTGGTGTTTTCAGGGTGCAGCTGCACAGGTGACACTTATCGTCTCACATGTTTGTGTCGTTTTTATTTATTTTTCTGCAGCTCCAGCCAGACGCCGTCCTCATCTTGTACAACTTCAGCGGCCAGTGCAGCGGCGAGGCCTTGATCACCTTCCATAGTGAGGACATCGCCAGGCGGGCCGTAGCCGAGCGCTCCAACCACCCCTTCTACGGCCAGCAGGTCCACTTGGTCCTATGTAACTGACCACTAGCCGTTCATCTCTCGCCGCCTCCTCCCTTAATTTAAGCTCACATTGAGGTGCATTCTCCTCGAAAGTGCCTCCAACAGATTTTCCAGTTGATCCCAGTGCCATTTAAAAAAAAAAAAAAAAAAAAAAAAAAAAAAAACGGCTGTTGAAGCGCTTCCTTTCCCATGATCTGCAATTATTAACACAAAACTGACGCTGCTGGCTGTGTCATTCCTGAAGCTACTGTTTGAGTTCGGACATCCACTGGTGAAGCAGCTGAAGTCGGTAAAGCTTAATGTTGGGTTAATGACTTTGTGGATGTCACGCACAGCATTTCTGTGCGTTTGTGTCTACTGTAATAGCTGGTTAGACGGTGTAGAGCCTGGACAAATATGCATGTATATTTAAATGCCTTATCGATGTGTCCCCCGATACGACTGTACAGATGTTCATCCTGAAATGCTTGAGGCTGTACAAACCACTTCTGCAAACAATCTTTTCTGTTTATTTCATCATTTTCACTCTTAACCACTACAAGATTTTGACTTTTCATGACTTGACTTTTTATGATCCTTTGTGTTCGCTCTATGCAAAGTGTATATGTGCGTGCACAATGTTTATTGAGTTGATGGTCTCCAAAAGTGTAGTGGTGCCATTAGAAGAGAGAGAAAGAAGCCATATAAAGACTTGCTGTACTTCTCAACTGTCGTGGATTAATTTGAATTAACCTGCAGAGACTGTTGATTAATACTACAGCAACACCACAGATGTGCCAGTGTACCATCTCATTTGTAACTATTTTTTTCTGTAAAAAGCATTTATGTGTGACATGCAGCATGTCGTCCCATTTAGATATTTTCCAAGCACTACAGATTTATTTGTTCCAAAGAGTTAAGTGACCGAGTGTCTTTAACAGAGTATGACAAATCGATTCTATTTTTATTAATCCCATTTCCGTACAATGTTTTTGGAGATGATGTTATGAAATATTAAGGACAAAGTCATATCTTTTTCTAATGACCGACCGCAGCTACTAGATCTTTTCCGTTTTGGTTTCCAGTCTATAGCTGCATTAATTCCTGCTTATGACCAGAGTACTGTGTAAAAGCTGCATGAGTTTTTCCTGTGACAGGCCTACTGACAGCTGTCTCAGTTTGTCCCATCCCCCCCTTTGCTGTGCCTACAGTACCCAGAGTGCAATACTGGCCCAAACAAGGCTAAGTCAACTTCTGGTGGCAGAGGAGATATTTGTTTGTTTTGTTGCAAGTTTGACACTTGTATGAATTTAGATCTGTGTATAAAACCAAACAATAAATGATTTTGACTATGGTACATGTTTCATTTGGTCTCAATTAGAGAGTAATTCCTAAGGTGCCAATAAATGTTGCCCAAACATAAAAAAATATATATTTTCTTTTCATAAAGGGAATAAATCGAGGGACTCGAACCGAAGGGACACAAGTGTCATTTAGGGACAATGTGAGCATTAAATATCAAATGAAAGCTCTGTGAGATACTTTCAGTGCCTAAAGTGCACCACTGAAATGTTATATAAAGTTTTCTTTATATATGTAATATAAAGAAAACCGAGAGGCGTAAGAGTGAAAGTGGGGTTTGGTCTGCTCTAAGCTCACTTGTGCCCTTTTTGACTCAACTACAAAAATATTCTATCAAACTCGAATCAGCGGCCGTTGCCATATTCTGAACATAATATTTTATCCGTTTGTATTATCAGGTTGAGCGTCACTATAAAAAACAATGTTGCAGACATTTATAAAATGTCTTTTTTGTTGTGTTTAAAAACCTTGAACACAAACTAATTGGCATAACTGCAAGTACATCACTTTTTTTTGAAGACTTTTACTTACAAACACCCATATCCTGTGTTTGTCTTTGAGAAAACATTTAAAGCAGAAGTGTCTATCTCTCTCACAAATTGCGTATATCTACTGATAATGAAAGGCAACATTAGGCACATACAACATACTGCTGATGTGTCATATATGAGCCGCTTCCCCATTCTGTGAGAAAAGGTCTAGCTTGTCTCAGAGTCAGTTATGTTTTCTTGTGTGATTCCATCCTGAGCGTATTTTTTGTCACACCCGTTGCCCTCAGTAGTTTTCCACTGTCACAGTTGAAATAATCTTGACTCGCTAATATTCAAAGAACCTTTGACCAAAGAGGTAATGAGCACTGTCACAGTGGGGTTACTCAACCCTCAGTATACATCTATATCCAACTGAGCCATCTTATACAATCTGGCACATACAAATGACACCCCATGGGAAAATCTTTAGTATGGTATCTTAATTCTTTTTCTTCAAAACTTGTTCAACTTCTTCAAAACCCTTTATGCCAAAATCTACGTCTCAGAAAACTTGAAACAGTTTTGAGTCCCATCAAAGTAAAATCAATTTTAGACATCGAGCGCAAAGTGAATTCTACTTATATTTACTATCATCCATTTGGCCAATTTTGTAAAATATATAGAAAAGGTGTTCCTTCCACTGTAACTGCTGTAGCGCAGCAGCTGATCATAAACGCAGGTTAGACATCTTTGTACGGTTTATGAAGCAAGGCAGCACTGTAAACACAGTTTCATCTTGACTATTCCCTAGATATAATTAACACATGCAATAAGATAAGGAAATTAAAATGTGACTATAATTATGACACCACACTGAAATTATGTCAAAACCCAATTATTAAAAACACAGTGCCACTGTCATCTACTGGTTGTGTCAGTTGGTGAGAGCAAAAGGCAGCAGACAAACTAAAAATGTTTGATAAGAGTGTTCTTGTTTTTTAAAAGTTTGTTCGTTCTTTATAAGCTTGTGACAAAGTTTAGACATGATTCCGCTTTTTGCTGCTCGACAAACGGAACATGCAGTTATTCATTTTGCAATCTTTTCATCTAGAGGAAGTTGAAAGCATGACTGTCGTTTTTAGTGGGATACCAGGACAATTCTTTGCCATTTCGTCAGGAGAGAAAATATTTTTGTTGTAAGCTGTGGATTCTATGATTAAGAAAACACATTGAGTAAATTGAGCAACAGTTTTATTAGTTCACAATCAGACTGTATCACAGATGTTTCCCAACACAGAACGAGAAAACTTCCTAAAGTCGTATCTCGAATTGAGACATAAGCTGTAAGTGAAATATTTCTCTGTGGCAAAAGTGTAGAAGTAAGAAGTGGCGGACACAAACACTGGATTACCAGATGGAAACCTACTGTGTCTGTTCCCACATTTACAGGCATTTAAAGAAATATTTTACAAAATCAATTATACCTAATCAATGACATTTCCATTCTATCGGCATCAACAAAATTATAAAATAACATAAAAACTTTTCATTGAGTCTTGTCATAGAAAATTATGTATTGTACTATATGGCATTTATCTAAGTACATACTATATGTCATATTTATAAATATAAGGTCACAATTTAAAAAAGAAACAACATAACTTTTTAAAACAGAACATGTAAAATAGGTAATTTACAGAGTTGGCCAAGTAAACTCTGACTTCCTGTTTTTCTGTGTTTTAGTTTCATACAAAATTCTTCCATAAAAATACTAACAGTATACACATGACAGACATTACATAGAATTTCAATATCAGGATGGATTATTTTCACACATTTTTATTAATATGTCCATTTGGTCTTTTGACTCCGACACACACTGAGAACTGCTGGTCTGATTGCTCTGCCTCTTGGACACGAAGGACAACTCTTTATTGCCCTCACCTGGGGAGGTGCTGGAGATGTGGCGGAAGAGCTTCTGGATGCCGGTGTCACTCAAGGAGCTCCTGAAGGAGCGAGCAGCAAACATGTAGAGGATGGGGTTAACAGTGCTGCTGATGAAGACCATGGCTCCAGCGATGAATGTCATGGTGCTCCTGACGTTCTCCAGGTTGTCTGCTGCGTCGGGGAGTGAGTCTACAGTGGCCAGGATGATGAGTGAGAGGATGTTTCCTATGTGATGAGGCGTCCAGCAAATGGCAAACACAACCACCACACTGGCAATAAGGACTGTGGACTTGCGCTTAGACTTGAAAGTCATCTGAGTAATCCGGCTGCACAGGCAACCATAGCAGACCACGAGGATGAAGAAGGGTAATATGTAGCCCACCAGTGTCTCGAGAAGCACACACACCAGCTCCTGGGTCGTAGAAGTGTAAAAGCGGTACAGACAGTGCTCCTCGCCAGAATCCGTCCCTACAACCTGAGTTGGGATGACAGGTATGCTGAACAAGAATGCTGCAGTCCACAGAGCCAGCAGAACTTTATTCAAAGCTTTTTTCCTCTTCCAGCCAGCTGAGACAAAGGGATAGCGCACGGCCACAAAGCGCTCCACGCTCATGAGGGTAATGAGGAAAACACTGCTGTACATGCAGGCGTTGATCATGAACACCATGGCTTTGCAGGAGGCTTCTCCAAACACCCAGGAGTGGGCCAGGGAGTAGATCCATATAGGCAGGGTGATGAGGACCAGCAGGTCTGCAACAGCCAGGTGCAGGATGAGCACCACGGTGTGGGAACGCTGCTTGACGTGTCTCAGGATAGTCCAGATCACCAGCAGGTTCCCCGGAGCTCCCACCAGGAAGGACAGGCCCAGGATCACACAAGCCACTGCTGTCCCGCCGTCAAACTCCTCAGGGGCCATTTCCTCTGAAGGAGACAGCTCTGTTGAGTAGTTCATGCTGCAAGTGTATGTGCTGACGGTGGCGTCTGGATGAAAAGAAAAACAAAGTGCTGAACAAGCAAGTGTTCACTTCCCTTTGAAATAGACAGGAAAGGGTTTCCTCACAGGGCTATTTGAGACATAGAGAGATGATTCATGTATGCGTCATAAGTCCATTTGTCACCTCATGTCATGGATTAAAAGTAGGTATAAGAGCATCAAATAAGTTAAAGAACCTGCAAAGACAAACTGAAATAATGTTAGAAAATGATGCTCCTTTAGAGAGTAAACGTGGGAGCAACTCCGTGTATACAATAACATTAACAGAGGCAATTTAAGGAGAATCTATTTGAGGTAACTTCCATGATCAGGCCGGACAGATTTACTGAAATTATGTTTTTCATAGCTTGTCCTGTTTTGTGTGAAAGAGTATTTGATTTAAAATGGGAGCATGATTGGTTTGCAACTGTGGATATTAGTTATGGGGAGTAGTTGCTCCACATTCAGTATGAAATATCACAGTATTGTTTTGAAGGACATATAGAATACACTATAGTTTAGCATATAGAGTCTTTATTTACCTTAACTGCCATTGCTAGGGCATATTTTCCCCAAAGAGGCAGGGAATCAAGTTGTTCTAAGTTAAATCAAAAAGAGAGAATGATAAACTAATTACATTTTAATAATCAACAAAAAATGTAATTATTGTAGCAGTTTCCAGGCTCATCCATCTAGATGTATTACATTGCATTTTTCATGTCAGAGAACAGATGCCTCTTTAATTGTAACACACAAAACACATGACACAATGCAGGAGTGTATCAACTTGTTAAGTTTTCAAACTTTTAAACTGTACAGCAATAAATTATCACCAAAATTGAGAAACATAATAAAGATTGCGATCATGTGTTGGCTTGCAGTGGCATCCAAGGGTCAATGTGAAAACAAAGACAGGAGGGTACGGTGACATGAATCACAACACATTACCACTGTCAGCACTATTGTACATATACAGGCTTTCAAAGCCTTAGATCATATATATAGGTCTTCATAATAAAGTACAGTCCCTTAATTAACCACAGAAGACAAATGTCACATTTCCCCGTCATCACAGGTTTTTTTTTCACAATCAGACATCAGCTCTATCTGTGTATTTGCTGCCCTCTGTCCAGTCTGCTGTTGTACTACCGGATCCCTGAGTTTGTTGGTGTGCGTGGCCATTTCCTGGAACAGCCTGACCAGTCGGGACTGCTCTAAACTCCCTTGCAAGTTCCTTGCGAAGAGGGCGTATAATACAGGATTCACTGAACTGCTGATGAAAACAAGAGCACCAGAGCTGAAGACAACACTCTCCGGCACACATTCACGTTCGGTGCCTGATCCTAGAATGCAAACCAGATCAATAATGTTGATGATATGGTACGGCAACCAGCACAGTGTGAAAGCTATCACCACAGCGTGAACAAGAACCATGGATTTAGGCTTTGAGTTGAAACTCATTTTCCTGAGCTGGGCAGCTACTAGAGAGTAACATATACTGAGAATGATAAAGGGAATTACAAAGCCCCACAAGGTCTCCAGACATAACAAGATGATTGCTTGGGTCACAGAGGTGACTTCATGAATAAAACACTGCTCAGTTCCATCACTTTCATCCAAAGTCTGGGTCACCACAGAAGGCCCTCCCAGAAGCAAAGCAAGGAGCCACAAAAGTACCAGACATCTGTTCATAGCACTCTTAGTCTTCCAGCGCATCATCACAAATGGATGACAGATTGCTAAATAGCGCTCCGCGCTCATAAGGGTGATGAAGAAAATGCTGCTGAACATGCACACACTGACAATGTACACCAAAGCCTTGCAAAGGGCTTCTCCAAGCACCCAGGTGTGTACCAGGGAGTAGATCCATATAGGCAGGGTGATGAGGACCAGCAGGTCTGCAACAGCCAGGTGCAGGATGAGCACCACAGTGTGGGAACGCTGCTTGACGTGTCTCAGGATAGTCCAGATCACCAGCAGGTTCCCCGGAGCTCCCACCAGGAAGGACAGGCCCAGGATCACACAAGCCACTGCTGTCCCGCCGTCAAACTCCTCAGAGGCCGTTTCCTCTGAAGGAGACAGCTCTGTTGAGTAGTTCATGCTGCAAGTGTATGTGCTGACGGTGGCGTCTGGATGAAAAGAAAAACAAAGTGCTGAACAAGCCAGTCTTAACTTCCCTTTATGGATAAATTGAACAGGAAGCAGGTTTCTCACAGTAGAAGGATAGGACCGGAGGGATAGGCACCCAAAGTAATCAGTTTACTGTAGACAGCTGATCTACTATTATTCCAAAGAACTTTCTGTTTCTGTTCTGTGACCATTTTATTACTCATATTAAAACAAGTCAGGAAGACTTTTAATTGGCTACATAGGTTGCATACATAACATCACTCCCACACATCAACTTTGGACTCTCTGTCAACTCCATATTGTATAAATGCCAACCGTTTGAATAGTTAATTATTACCATTACTTGCATTTTCGCAGATACAGTCAGAATTATTTCTGAGCCCAGAAATCTGTATGGAATATTTGATCTAATACACACAACAGCCTATCCTCCATTGTCTTTAACTTTTACACACATCATGTATATATTGTTAAGGACATTTCTGAAGTATAGGCCTGATTTGTTAATAGCTTCCTTCAAGTCATGTGGTTCTGATTTGAAGATCAGTGCAGTGTTTCCATGTGATCTCTTACTCATCATACTGAAGGTAGAGCTACAGAAATCGATGATATTTTAAGTTAAACACATTTTATTTATGAAATGTGATCAGCTTATGGTGTAACTAAATGAATTATAGCTCATGTTATTTATGAATTCCTCTTGCAGCTGCACATGTTTAAAACTGGGCATTTCTGACATCATTTCAATGCACATTTGAATGTATAGATTAACATTGATTGCTTCTACACTGCTCTCAGAGATTTTAATCTTTCAAGAATACAAAAAGAGTTTAATTATCACCTGCTCTTTCACGGTCTCTCAACAAAAACAGAATATAAGAACCTTTATTAAATGACATTTATTGCCGGGCTACATTTTTGTATTACTTGGTGAATGCAGGAGAGTAAATATAAAAGAACAGTGAATAGATAAAGAATGGGACACACTTCACATTTTAGGTAATCATCCAACCAGTTTTTTGATCACTGTCACTTTAAGGTACCACAAACTGTAAAACATGTTTGTTAGTTAATGTCAGAGAGAAAGGACACGATGGAAGACACTGAAGGATTAGGACTAACAGGAACAATATTAAAGAGCACAGTGGAGGGTGCTGGAAGTGGACAGAGCAGAACATGTTATGGAAGTTAATTAACTCCAGAAGATGGCAGTAAAACCATTAAAACAGTGAAACCTCATAGAAGAAGAAGGCTCCTCTCAGTCAGCTGCCTTCTGGTCAGGTGCCATTATAACCATTAGAACAACACAACACCAGCATTAGAAACGGGAGAAATGCCCCTGGTAGTAACGATAATACAGTTATCTTCAAAGTACTGGGTTGATTTGAAAGGACATCATGAAGATCATCCAACACAAGACTGAAAACCTGTTGGGAAAAGGAGAGAAGGGGGATGAAAACTCTTGGATGGACCATTGAGCAGAAAGCAAATAAATAACTGAAATAAACATTATAGTCCAACTGTTCTACTCCCAGTAAAACTACCATAGATATACTTTCTGACTTTATCTCCCATTGCTTGGCAAAAAGATACATACACTAACAATAAATACCTATATATATATATATAATGTCTATGTTGATGTCTTCAAAGAACTCAGTTGACAAAACTGGTATTTCATGAAAAGATAGTTCCAGATTTCAACATAAATATGATAACAGCTCATACAAAGAAATGAAATAGCTGACAAATGTGCAAAACATTGCAATGCCCTTTAGTAAACCGGCAATGAAGACCACAGTTAAGCATAAGCTGATAGACAGGTGGTAGAAGAAGAGAAGAGAAGAGACAACAGGAAGGTGGATGCAGAATTTAAAGAAAAGTAGTTATGATCAGAAACCGTAGGAGACCCTGAAGAGAGAAAACAATAATGTCTCAACACAAATTAAAATTAAATAATAAAAAAATATATAAAAATACATACATAATACTAATTTGTTTTCAGGAAGATGATATATCTTATATGTTTTCTTTTATTCATTATTAGAATTTGTGAATAGTTTGAATCCCAATCCACACCCCACACCAGTTCGTGGCGGTAATGCACCATCACGTTGTTAACCAACCGCCATAACGCACCGAGAAGAAGAAGAAGAAGCAGAAGAAGGCGAAGAAGAACGCTACTCAGCCAGCTCAACTGCCTTCTCGATGAAATAAAAATGACGATGTTGACAACTACGATGTTCTCAGTGCAGCTGCACTAAAAGTACAGCACTGGCTTCGACGAGGGGCGCTGGATATTGTGTAAATCTACATTTGTGACAAACTGTAAGTGACGATTTAATACAAGCTTGTTTTTTGGTGCTCAACTGTGGCTAGCTACGTTGTTATTGTTAGCTAACGAATAAGCTAGTGTGAGGTAACGTTAGCCATGTAAATAGCTAACGTTAGGGGCGTTAACTCGTATTTAGCGTTACTTCTATTGCTATTAACGTTAGGTAACGTTGACGTTAGCCAGTTTGATCCCTTGCCCACGGGTTTCACGTTGTTTGGCTGATTGAACCTCTTACATTTCATCAACGACAGTTCAATTCATGGGTAATTTGCACCTTTACTAACTGTCCTGAGCTAACGTGTTAGCCTTGCTTGAGAACTGAGAGTAGGTTAGCTAGCACAGTGGTTCCCAACCTCTTCGGTTTGAAGTACGTTTCCCCCACAGCCATGTCCGATTACATAGCGTTAAATGCCACATGTAGCGTTCAAGTGAGACATTTGACTTGATGTCAGTATGTGGACACATTCTTTAATCAAATAATACTTAATACACTGAGCTAAAATCATTCTGCGAAGTTCTTGAAAACTAACATTAAAACCTTGCACGCGTATTTCAAAATCATTACTAAATCACTTACAACACATTAGGTTAACACAATTTAGCCACGATCCTAGGTTAACACTAATGTATGTTTGCTGTACCATAGGCTAACACTTCTGTATGTTTGCTGTACCATAGGCTAACACATCTGTATGTTTGCTGTACCATAGGCTAACACATCTGTATGTTTGCTGTACCATAGGCTAACGTTAACTCACTTCTGCCCTCACAGGTCGTTTTAGTGGATCGGGATAAACACTATTTTCACAAGTTGAGAAGTGGACCGTAATCCCTGCAATGCCTCTGCTTTTTTTGGAGAGGTTTCCTTGGCCTAGCCTGCAGACCTACACCGCACTTAGTGTGGCTTTGCTTGCTGGCAGCCTCTTTAGTGCCTACAACACTGTGACTGATCCCGGGTATGGGGTCTTGGAAACTGATGAAACACCAGTTCCAACTGAAGGGGATCTGGAACATCTAAACAATGATATTATTAACACAGAATTGACAACCACTATCCTGTGGTCTATTGCCACTGACAGTCTCTTTGTATGGGTAAGTGTCATCCAGTTATTAATTTGCATTGCTTGATAAGATTATGTTCTTATGAGAACTAATTGTCTCTTTACTCCCTGTTCTCCTCTAGGTATTGGTCAACACATTCTGCTGCTTGTTGATGTTAATTGCTAAAATGATTCAGTATGTAGTGTTTGGCCCGCTCAGAGTTAGTGAGAAGCAGGTGAGTCGGTGTCTTGAACAATGAATACAAGTACTTTCAAGCCCGGGGTATTAAGCTGCTCTACTTAAGTGTAGACCTATCAGGAAAAAGAATGCATCTGATTTGCCCCGTGTTTATTCCTCAGCACCTGAAAGATAAATTCTGGAACTTCATCTTCTACAAGTTCATTTTCATCTTTGGGGTATTGAACGTGCAGACGGTGGAGGAGGTGGTCATGTGGTGTCTGTGGTTCTCTGCCTTGGTGTTCCTCCACCTCATGGTGCAGCTGTGCAAAGACCGATTTGAATATGTAAGTAGTATGACCTACACCATTGGTTTTCTTTTTTTAATAACTCACTCTAGTACCCCTATCCATGGTTTATGACTTGTGTAATTTATTGAATTATTGACATTATGAGTCTCTTATCGTTCCAAATATTCTCTCATCACATGTTTTCCAATTCAACTGAGAATAGCTACAACAACTAATGATATTGTGCTAGTTGTCCAAACATCCAGTCAGTCTACGATACAAAGTCGAAGTGTTGTCAAGACGAACATATCGGAAACAAGTCAACGCATGATATTTGTGGATGAGCCACTAAATGATTTTCCACACTTACATAGTTTTATAGTCTGCTTAAGGATCTTTAAAAGTGTTTAGTTTCTGCTTTGCAAACAACAATCTCTTCAGTAGATTTGTCATGGGTAGCTACAGAGCTCTTATTTGTTCAGACGGTTTAGTTTAGGCAGAGGCCCGGCGATTGACGACATCTGTAGCACTTTCAAACTTTATAGTGCGCTCTTATAAGTCGTGGGGAGTAACCGTACTCTTCTCCGCTCTGGATCTATTAATAGTTCCTTGGGCTGGCATGTTGGGCTGCTGATTGACACATCCCTGTATCAGATTGTGGTGTGCATGTTGGGGAAAACAAAATATCAAATTGAATCAACCCCCTTAGCACTTAAAAGCAATGACATTTATAATGGGCATTAAGTTGGTATGTTGTCTGTGATGTAATGCTGACTGGCATAGTGTACCAGAGGGTAACTTCTGCCTGCCATGCTCTAGAAATGTACCAGTTTGTTTGCTGACTGCAAGTCTTTGTTTCGGTCTCTCAGCTTTGGCTATAGATAAGCATTCATGCGTGTTCTTTTTAGGTTACAGTCTGTTCGTCGTCTTAGCCTAGCGGCCTTCATTCCTGTTTCTGTGGGTACTAGCTTTTGGGGGAACAAGACGTGTTTATTTCAACTGTTTGACTGTTTGTAATGAGGTACTACACAACGTGTCAGTTTACAGTCTTACGCCTTGTTTGCCAGTATATAGATGTTGCCAGGGTTGTGTGAGTATTCTATTGATTTAAATGGGTTGTGTAACATTAGTAAGGGAAAGGTTGAAAGAAAATATTTCCTCTCAGTTAATAATACAATAGAACTGAGTCTGTTTCTGAGCCTGAAGCTGAAACACGTGTGTCTATATGTGAGCAGGCTAACAAAAAGCCATAGGTTCTTTGGTGGCTGAATCAATTCTTTTGATTTAGGAATAGTTCATTGACACATGCAGATTTTGTATTCTTTCACAAATGATATTCTTTAAATGCCAAAATGATCTGCACTATGAGATTATGAGCATTAAAACAAAACACTTTGTCGGAATCCTTTGCCAATTGAAATCTGCTATGAACTCCCAAATAGTTACGACTTTTCAACTTTATTAAACCAGCACAACCTCCCCATAAACTTTAGGACATAACGAAATGGAAAGAACTTTGGGAGATGAACTTATTATTCACATGTTCTTCCCTCCAGCTGTCCTTCTCACCCTCCACTCCCATGAACAGCCATGTACGAGTGCTTTGTCTGCTGGTCTCCTTGCTGTTGGATTGCTGTGGGCTGGCTGTGGGCTGTGGTGGTCTGCTGGGAGCTTCCCATGGCATGCACACCTTCTCCTTTATGGCAGCAGAGGTAAGAACCTGGAGCCACAACGGTGTACAATGGGTCCCAATGTGTGGACAAAGGCATGATGATATCTTGATATCTTGACTCTTGATATCGTTCAAGCTTTTGGTTAGGCCCATGTATTTCATGTATTTCTTTTTGTTTTCTCTATTTCGCATGCTTATGTGTAAATGGAGCTGGGTGTGTTTCATGTGCCATGTTGTAAACATTGCTAAGTTATTTTATGGCAGATAATTGGACATTAAAGCAGGAAAAGTGGACCGTTATCCATATCTATATGAAAGAGGTCTAGGAGAATTACATTGTGTTAACCAGTTACCCTTTTCCTCCTCAGTGTCTGCTGGTGACTGTGCGCACTGGCCATGTCATCATGCGGTACGTCTCTTTCTAAGCCTTCTTACAAATGTGTGCACATTGCAGCACAACGGATGACATAGCAGATTAAGAATCAGGGGCTAATGTTAGCTACACCGTTCTACTGTGAAAGGCTTCTTTGTCCCAAAGAGAGTGGTTTGGATTATACAAGCAATATAAACTACTCTAATCAGCCAAGGCGCTCATAGATACTTCTGATGTTGCTTCTGATTGCAATGCTACCTGTTTAATTGTACCATGATAACTTTACACCATCTGAATTTCCAATCCCCATCCAAGTTGAGTACCACGTTGTCCACCGCACTGTCTAAATACCACCTCTGTTTCATGGCCTGATGGAGTTTTGCATGTCCCCTCAGATATGCCATTCATCTTTGGGATCTGAACCACCCAGGGACCTGGGAGAGTAAGGGAACGTATGTCTACTACACAGACTTCGTCATGGAGCTGACCATGCTCTTCCTGGACCTCATGCACCATATCCATATGCTGGTACGACACAGAGGAAACTGTGATCTGTATAGTCCAATATCACAAATGTTCCTCAGAGGGCATTACAATCTGTAATAAAACATCCTCTGTCCTTGGACCCTCGCATCGGATTTTTAATCTTTTTGTCCATATGTCCCGCATTAGCTTTTTGGAAATATCTGGCTGTCCATGGCGAGCTTGGTTATCTTCATGCAGCTGCGGTATCTCTTCCATGAGGTTCAGCGCCGTGTCCGCCGACACAAGAACTACCTTCGTGTCATCAACAACATGGAGGCCAGGTGAAGATACATTTTGATTTATTTATTTTCCCCTTGTTACCTCCATGGTTTTGCAGTTCTTTGTTTGTTTATTTAAATTATTGATCATTACTTGTTTCATCATTATTTGTACGTGCCCTTTATTGTTTGCAGGTTTGCAGTTGCTACTGCAGAGGAGCTGACAGCTAATGATGATGACTGTGCCATCTGCTGGGACACCATGTTGACAGCACGCAAACTGCCCTGTGGCCATCTCTTCCACAAGTAAAGTGTTTTAAAATCAGCAATGTCTGCATGGACTTTACTATGTAGTCCGTTATTTTACTGGTACCACTGACCCATGGCTCAATACATAGCCTGGAAACACTTTCAAAATATAGATGGTTAAACGTGAGACTGCAGAAATAGCAGGCGACCAGATAAACCAGCCTTGAATGCAGTATGCTTTATTTGGCCAGTGCCCAAAGTCTTGCAATATATATATATATATATATATATATATATATAGCAGACCTGACTGCAGAACTGTTCTTAGATGTTCTGCACTGATCCTGATGTTGACCTGAGGCCTAAAATGATTAATGTCAAGTTCTATGCAGATAAATGCCATAATAACATTGTGAGTTGTGTGTGTGTGTTTCCAGCTCATGTTTGCGCTCATGGCTTGAGCAGGACACCTCGTGTCCAACATGTCGGACATCCCTGAACATTAATGGGGACGGGGGCCAGGCGAGAGGCCAGCAGCAGGGCGGGGGCATGGAAGACAACACTGGCCCGGTGGGAGCTGCTCCAGATGCTTTACCACACATCAACCAACACAATCACTTCTTCCACTTTGATGGTGAGTCTGTCAGTCACAGACCTGAGCATGAATCTGGAGGTACCTTACTTCAGATGCTGTGTGTGTGTGATAATGAATTATAAAATCCATACGTTCTCTCACAGGATCTCGCATTGCCAGCTGGCTGCCCAGTTTCTCAGTGGAAGTCATGCACACCACCAATATCTTGGGCATTACTCAGGCCAACAACTCCCAGCTCATGGCCATGGTGAGTTCATGTATTCTGAACGTTTTTTATACTTTTTAAATTACCGATATTGTGTTTTTAAGACCTTTTTGTGTTACATCTCCAACTAATCTTTCTCTAAATCGTTCCTCTATTGCTCTCTTTGCCTTTGATGTACCTTGTGGTGCTCAGGCCCATCAGATCCAGGAGATGTTCCCTCAGGTGCCCTCATACCTGGTGATGCAGGATCTGCAGTTGACCCGCTCTGTAGAGGTCACCACCGACAACATCCTGGAGGGACGCATCCAGGTGCCTTTCCCGACACAGGTCAATCAACTTTGGCTTAATTAAATGTTAAAAGCAGTGTCATTTTTCAAAATGTCATCGGTGCCTCCGAAAAGGCTAACAGTGTTGATATAACGATGCTTTCCTGATTCCTCCAATTGTCAGTGCTTTCTGTTTCATGTTGATCCCGTTCCGATGGTTTACTTTGAAAGGACAGAATGCAACAATCTGTGTTCCTTCCTCAGGCCATAGAGCGCGCCCCCACACAGGCGAGCTCTTCGCCAGATGAGCAGGACGGGTCCAGTGGAGCACCTGAGCAGGGCCTCAGCGAGGCGGACAACATGGAGGTCCGAGGAAGTCGCTTCTCTAAGTCGGCCGAGGAGAGGCAGAAGATGTTAAAGCAGAGGAAAGAAGAGATGCTGCAGGAGGCACGCAGGTTTGGACACTGCTGCTTTTCTACCTCACAGAAAGTAGTGCTAAGCTACGTTTTCAATTCAAAATAAAGGACACTTCCTTGTTTTTGTAAACATTTTTTTCTTGAGGTCAGGAGTGTGATCACATCATAGCTCGGCTGTATAAATCGTGCTTTGTAAATATCGACCCTGCCTTGTGAGATGGGTTCGTCTTGGTCTGTGAACAAATACATTAAAAGGGCTTAAAAAGACTCTTTACTTGGCTACCAGAAGAGATTAAAGGCCCAGTTGCACATAACTAACAAATAGAACATTTGTTCACTAATGGTAGACTTCGTCTGGTTGCCCCCCCCCCCATTATCTTGCATTTTTCTGATCCCATGATCACACTGTATGTTGTTCATTTGGTCCCTGTAGGAGATATGTGAACACTAGTCCAGAGGACCCGGATGAGGATCTGCCTGGACTGGAGGAGGACATTGTTCCAGAATTGAACTTGACTGTGCTGAGGCGTAGAACCATGGCGGCAGCCGCAGAGAGACGCATGCTAACTCAACAAGACCCCGCACCTTGAAACACGGATTGGCTTCAGCAGAAGAGTACCGCATCATCACCCGCAAGAGGCACAGACAAAGCTATTTCTACCCTCCCCCATTGGTTCACAGTCAGTGGTTCATCACCTCTTCAAAACAAGAATTAAAAAGCATTGCAAACATAGCCTTTGGACTGGTTTGGCCTGCCTAAATACGGCGGGACTGTTGTGAACGGCGTCTGCATCACTGATTCCAGAGTATTTGGAATATCGTATAAATTGATAGGGTGCAAGTCAAGAAATGCAAGGTTGCATTGCCCTTTATTCATGTGCCACACATTGCAACCACCAGCTTCAGTCGGCAGTCGGTTTCTACCGTGATTGGGACTGGCTGTCAGAAATGAGCATGCTTTGCATTCAGAAGAGTCTTTTATGAGTGGGGTGAGAAGGTGTCTTTACTAGATAAAAGCTGTTTGGGTCTTTTAGTTTTGTTTTTCTTTTATTAGACTTTATTTTCACTTGTTTAGCAAATAGTCTTCTGAAACCGCAGAAACTCATCTGATGTAATTGTGTGTTCTTAATTCATGAGTTTCAACTGTGAATTACGTGTAGGCAAAAATAACATGCTTTTATTTCTTACCTTGGAGTAAGAGACTGTCACTGTCACTGTTCAGCCTTTCTGTCAAATACGAATGTTCCTATCAACATAATGCTGCAAACAAAGTGTTTTTGACCCACGTGGGTTGTTCTGTATGTAGTGTGTAATATACCACCCATTGGTTTTGTTATTAAACATGGAGTGGGCGTGTGAAGCTTAGTTTTTCTAATAATATCCCCTTGAGATGCATAGGCGACAAAGGGGATGTATTACATTTTGTACAAGTACAATGGCTGTCGTCCTCTCAGTCTTTCTGAAATTGCCCTCTGATAATACGCAGTTCTCTCCGAGTCAGAAAATGTTATTTTCTACTAAATACATGTCGATGGGGTCCGTGGTCATCTGCGTCCATCATTTAGACTTGTTATGCTCTGTGCATTGTTAAGTCTGTGACAGCTAGACTCAAGAGGCTCTGTCCGTAGAAAAACATTCTCAAGACTTGACAACAAATCCAGTTGCCATTTAACTCAATATTTCTGGATATTCAATGACCTGAATGAAAATAGTTCTGAATAAATGTTCAGGGTGTTTTATTAGTGCAGACTTTGTCTACTCACATTGAGGAGTGCTTATTCAAAATTCTTAGTAGCAAGGAACATAATCATCTGCTGCTCGAAGATGTTAATGCAGTAATGTGCAGGATTGTACCACATGGACTGGGCCCTTGAAACACTTCTGGTATTTTCAAATTTCACCAAGTCTGTAGCTGGTTGAGGCATATCAATGGACACAAAGATGGAGACTGTATTATATGCGTTTTGATTTCTTGTTTGAGGTGAGATATGCATGAATCTAGATGCTTATGTTTCCTTCCACTTTATCCCAAAGAGCGGCCCACGAACTTCCACTAAAGGCTGAAGTATTGTGATCTTTATTTAGTGTTCATTTTATTGCTCAAACTCTGTTTTGGTGTTGTAAGAAGATGCAATATAGGATTTTAATTTCAGATTTTAACGTTTGTCAAAATGTAAAAAGAATTGGACAGTTTTTATTTTCACATCATTTCATTCAGTTATTTAACAGCTTTTGATATCTATTGTATATTTTCCTCTTCATGGGGTTCCTTCATAACCATTACTTTATTTAATCAAAGCTGAAATAATTTTTTTGGACTGAGCTTTCCTGTATTTTTGTGCCTAAATCAAGAATGGTTCAGTTATGGATAATTTCTGTAAATCTAGTTTTTGTAAATTATGTTTATACAAGACTCAATAAACGGAGCTTCTACAGCTTTTTGACAAGATATAATGAAGTCATATTTATTCTTGAAACTAACCCACTTTTGTTGAAGCTTTGTCTATGTAAACTCTCTTTGCCTCTATTTTCCTGACAAAGACTGATGCAGGCCTGCTTCTGATTAGTGTTTAAAAAGTGAGTCCATCCTACTGTGTAGTTTTGACTTTATTAGTCCAATAAGTCTGTGGGACGGACTACGTCATAAATAGATGCACTTAGCTGCACCTCTCACTGTGAAAGTCATACATCAATCTCGATGTATATGAAATGATTTCTGTTCAAATCAGTTTAGTGATGTTTATTTTGATGATCCATCGGACGTCATTAGGCTGCGCCCCCATACCTCCACCACTCTGGGGCCACGTCATACGGGCTCATGCCGGCATGCGGAAGAAACGGCAGCCGAGAACACCCAGGTTGGTTCAGCCCAATGATGTAGCCCAACCTCCTCCTACACGACTTGTAGAACTGCTCAGTTACCACTGTGCGTTACCCGAGTCTAGGAACTCAACTGGACTATCGCTTCTGGTGTGTGTTTTATTTTTACTGGTAAGTAGTTAAACGTGCTAACCTCTTAGCATGGCAGGTAACGCTAACGTTAACGTGAAACGTGAAGTTACAGCTCCGACGCTTAACGTCAGCTGTGAGCTTGTCATAAACTCGGTAGTTATTCAGACGCTGTATAGATGACGTTGTATAGCTAGCTACCCAATTAACGCGCACTATAGAAAAGACTGATTAGACAAATGATTTGATGCTAACGTTAGCTAGCCAGAACACCAGACTGTGTGACACTATTTGATGAACTTGGTCAACATGAGCAGTTTGGTGAAATGTAAAACAAGTTGGTGCCAAGGCAACACCCTTCCGTCTTAACACTTAACAAGACCATTGACACAGGCGTATTGTTATTTACGTGGCTTGGTGATTAAGGGAACGATGACACCACTAAAGAGTAATTGTGTGTTGCTTTCATGGAAACTGGAATTATGAGCGTGTGGCTCTGATTTAAAACTACCACGCACACACACACACACATACAGACTCACACTCTCACACCAACTCATTAAGAGGATGTACAGGACATTTTTTGAAGTTCGTACGAGGAAGTGCATCTTAATTCATGTTTGCCAACTGGTTTATCAACCACTGAATCATGGCAGTAAAGTAATGATAACTTTTTACCAAGTGAAACTATATTTGTCAGGTCAAAGTTCTGTGTCACTTAGAACAAACATACGATCCAGGCTGACCATACAGCCATGTTAACTCACTGTGCTGATGCAGGATCTTGGATGGATTATGAAAAGTCTATTTAGTGTGTCGTGTTTTCTATGCTTTGCATACATGCATTTATGGGTGTGGACTTACTGGTTTATATGTGTGCGTGTGTGTGTGTGTGTGTGTGCATGTGTTTTCTAAGCAGATTGTGAAATGCTGCTAAACCAGACTCCACTGTTTGAGCCCTCCCTGCTTCAAGAGCTAGACTGGAGTAGCAACACTCTCTCCTTCTCCCCCCCCCATCTCCCCCTCCAGTCCAGGGGACGGCCTGGTGCTCAGGCCGCTTTGTACGGCAGACTTCAACAGGGGTGAGACAGAGACTGGAGGGACAACGTGTTCCAGTACTTGTATTTCCAAGAGAATATGAAGATAAGAACATGAAAAATGGTGTCTTTTTGGTGTCCAATGTAGAGCTTGGTCAGTTGATGAAAATGTTAAACTTATCAGAGAGATAAATGAAGAATTTCCAAGAGATGGAGATGGAGTGAGGATAACGTCGACATTTTCACCAACTGTTTTGTTTTTGTGTTCCAGGATTCTTCAAGGTTTTATCTCAACTCACTCAGACGGGCGATGTCACACCTGAGCAGTTCACGAGTAAGTCATGCTCGGCATAATGCCACTTTTTTAAAAGACAAAAGTTACTATGAAGTTATTTAGTTTAGAACATTAACAACACAAGTGTTTCCAACAGTTGTCTTTGTATAAATCACATTTGAGAAGAAAAAGAACCCTCATCCTAGAAAACAAACTTTAAATACAAACCTATGTAATGAAACATCAATAAAGATAAAAAAACAAACATTTTGTCTGTTGTCTTCCAGAGAAGTTTGAGCACATGAAGAAGACCGGAGACTACTACATAGTTGTGGTGGAGGACACCAACCTGGGACAGATTGTTGCCACGGCCACATTGATCACAGAACACAAATTCATCCACTCCTGTGCGAAGGTAAATAACATCCCGACACGCTATTCTCTTATATTTAACAATGGATGTTTATTTATTTTAATTAAAAGGATCCCCATTAGCTGATGCCCGTGGTACCGGCGTGTTCTTACTGCTGTCTGAAACATCATATTCATCATTAACGGACTGTATTCAACATCATTGTGTTACGCTATATTTATCACATGTCAACTTAATAATTAGTAATTATTAACACAGTTCACTACCATAAACCAAATCAAGTTCAATTTGTATTTCCTTAAAAACTATGCAAATTTAATAGTGAACATGCATTTTTTTACAGATCTTGCAAATGACTGAAATGAAGATCGTCTCTATTTGATTCTGTTTTGTTTGTAGAGAGGCCGGGTGGAGGAGGTGGTAGTTAGTGACGTGTGCAGAGGGAAGCAGCTGGGCAAACTGTGAGTAGACCTGAGTGAGCAAAGACATGTTGTATTGGTCTGATACTTAAATCCTTGTATTTGTCCCACAAATCAAACACTGTGAAAATGATTCATATGAGAGACTTATTTTGGATTCATCTTGCTTCATTTTCCTCTTCTCTTTTTTTTCTGTCCCTTAAGGTTGGTTTCAGCTCTCACTCTTCTCAGCAAAAAACTGAATTGCTACAAAATCACACTGGAATGTGCACCTGACAATGTGGCTTTCTACCAAAAGTTTGGATACACCTCCTCACACGAGACTTACATGCAGTGTCGATTTTCCAACTGAGGACAACAGCGGCTTTAAACCTTCATTCTGGGGGGGGGGGGCCGTGGCCGTGGCCGTGGCCGTGAACCACACCTGTGAGCCATTCCTTAATGCTCACCCTGTATTTCAACATGCATAAATGTATGTTGAAGCCTTTAGCTCAGTCCAATGGCTACCTCACCAACGTGAAGCTCTGTCATCATCTTCCCCCACCGATCCGAAGAAAGAAATGTCAGTTCCTGTAAATATAATGTCTTATTGTGGTACATTACGATGTAAATAGCTGTTTACTAAATTACTAAAGACTAACCTGTAACTGTCAGTAAATACAATTGCTTGGGAAAACCAAATTTAAATATTTCTGAAGCAGCTACATAACTTATTATTATCTACAGCTTCTCAAGTTCACAACAAATCCGAGTATGCTGTACGGAAGTCGTTTCAAACTTGGTCTCACAGATCTGTGCATCAAGGGCAAGTCACCAAAGAGAAGTTTAGTTTCTTTAAATGTGATTAGTTATTACTACGTTAATAATACATATCCTGTATGGTACGGAGTGCTCTCCGTCTCAGCAGGCTTTTCTTTCTTTGACAGTAATGCTCAATGACTATAATGAAGGTTTGAATACTACAACATGAAGAATTACTATCAAGACTGTTATAATGTATAATATTTGTAGCGAACAAACAGTTTATATTTTGTGAGGCAGAGGTGAACAATTAGGTACTTAACGTTTTGTATTGGGTCGGTATTTGAGAATTGATCACAGCTGTGATAACGAGTAAAACATATTGTGATGGGAAATGGATAAAAATGACTTTGTAAATTAACTCTTATTTAAGTTTGTTATTCTGGAGAACAGGGGAACATATTTAATGTAATTTATTCCAAATATGTAAGACACATAATATATTCTACAATCTACCGTGATTCTTTGCTTGTGTTTATAGTCTTAAAACAAATCAATTACATTTGTACTGCGATGCTGATGCATACAAAGTGTTTTATTGTACAAAAAGAGCTCTGGGATGGACATGTCTATTAATCATAGTTGTATCATTTTCAAACCATTAAGCAGGTAGATGCATCACTAGAAGGTTAGTAAGCCTCTGCCATACAAAGGAGGTTGGAAAACCTGACCAAATCTTTTCCAACATTAATTCTAATGTAACTTCATTTACATATTTATGTCAGTGTTGTAAATGCAAATTTGTTTCCAAAAGGAATTCTTATAGATTTCAGCCTTTCGGGTCGACGCATTCTGCTCCCAAAGCTCATCACACACTGTGTAGGAGGGTGAACTAGGAATGCATGCCAGTGGCTGCTATTTAAGTCACAGCAAGGTCCCCAGAAAGGTTTGTTGAAACAATAAGTATAACTTGCTTCAAATTGTAAAATATTTGACAGAAATGCAAAGTTCAGAAGCACAGCATTATGTCATGATGTTAAAAACAACAGGTGAACAGGACTTAGTCAGACTTGTTTTTATTAAGCAGAGTTGTTATTTCCCCATTCCTTACTATCCCACATTAAGCCTGATATTAGTCCATAATCCTATTACTCCCAAAATAAAGGCATTAGCGTTTCCTCTTCTCATGTCCTCCACTGGGCGACGTCTTGGCTACTTTCCCTTTTTGCCGACTGCCCCATTCTGGTCATCTACACAAATTCAAGTATCGAAAGTGCATAATTGCAATACTGTCCCGCTGCAAATGCAAAATGCTTTAAATACTATAAAACTGCAAAAAATCTCCGATCAGTGCATACAGCTCGAGAAAAAAAGGGAGTTATCAAATTAGCTCGATCCCCTTCAGTACTCCATGTCTCAGACACGAGTGATCCCCCCCCCCCTCCCACCCTAGTCCCTTCCCCCTAGAAAAAGTTCAAATATTTACATTTTTAATCCCATTAAAAATGTGGAAAAAAAAAAAGATGTTTAGTGCACTGCGACCACACAGCTAAATATCAGCAAAACTCATCCGTTCTGTGCTGCTGTGACCTGCATTGCTCCAAAGTCCTCATCTTCCTCCAGGCTGCGTTTACGGCTTCCTGTTACAGAGATGTGTAGATGAAAAACAATAAGGGAGTATGACTGCAGACATCAACACACCCAGTTAAACAACTAACTGCTACTCCATGTCTCAATAACACGATGCCAGTCAACACTAGTTTGGGATGCTCATCTGGAACAATAAGAAACGGAGCAGACGGGTGTGGCTGAGCAGTGCGTCATGTACACACCTGGCATCCCAGCCTGTAAGGAGAACGATCTGCCCAACTGCATCGGTGACATCATTTTAATGGTCAGTTTGGCGAGGTAGATCGCTTCATACTCCTAGGAAACAAACATTCATGTCAGTGCTCTTACTGTTGTAATAACGAGCATCAGTACGAGTGATGAGGACAGTCAAAAGCACACAATGTTTTGGTGTGTTCATCACTGAACATGCTTCAGAAGCTGGCGGTCTGATCTTTTGGCTCATCTTTAATGAAAGATCGTGTGAACATGATGCAGCATTTACGCTTTAAAATGAGATATTTATAGAACATCCAATATAAATAACGTGCCTTCCCTTGTGCACAAACACATGCTTGTCATGATTTACACTAAAAAAAGAGACGACTCATAATATTGCGTGCGAGCCAGATATACAAAATAATAATGAATGTGGCCAAAAAAGGTTGAAGACCACAGATGAGTTAGTCGTGCATTTATTTAGAGTAATAAGGTGTTGACTTTGACTTTGACTGTCGGGTTGATTAATCAGAATCTGAAGCACTTTGTCTGGAGGTAAAGACTGACCTGCAGCTGATGCACAAAGCCCACATTGGGGTTGATGCAGAACCTCCTCTCCTGGACGTGGCTGAATGCATCCCTGTAGAGTACATGGAGCAGGAGGTTACAACCACAGACACGGACATACTCCACTGCAAACAGTAACAAATAATGAATAACACCCGGTTGTATGTAAATGTGAAAATAGTTGTGCTTCTATTTCCTACAACGTTTGTTATTGCAACAGTTATGCTGCCAATGTGGCAGGTCACTGGACATGTCTACATGTCACTCAGTTATTGTTGTCTGACATCTTTGTAGAAGGCTTTAGAATTGTAAACACTAAGTCAGTGGTACCAGACAGTGGCAATATGGAAAATGTCATTTAAAAGGTTTACCTGCCACAGCAAACATTTCCCCTGTATTTAGCAAGCGCTACTTTCATTCCCCGTGCTGCCTTCAGTGTGTGTTTTTATTAAGCCTGCACACTATTAGACAGTTTATTTGATCTAGTTCTCTTTCTTTATGCTTGACGAAGGCACAAACAAGACTTGATGTATGCGAGGCGTAACGTGGTCGTCACACAGTGGACTGTGCCTCTAAATCCTTTGATTAAATCATACATTTCTAAATAAGTTAGGCTTGTATTCTAATGGTATGAAATAGAAAGCCATAGTTAAAAGTGAGAAAACAAACACTAACCGGTATTTCATCCCAAATGTTTCCATAAGGTATGCAATCACTAAGGCAGCACTGAAAGAATCAATAAAGAAGACCCAAGAATATAAAAAAAAAAGCAGTTATATGTAATGTAAATTCAGTGCATAATGTGATACAATTAATGTGAAATTAGATAAATCATATTATGAAATGACAACAAAACAAACCTCACCTTCTTGATATCCCTGCATTACCGTGAACCAGGACCTTTCCTAGAGGAACAAGACAAAAGATTGTTGATTAAAAAAAAAGACTTTTTTCTTGACTCGACACTTTTGACAAACTGCATGCATCCTTACCTCCTGTTGCTAAGCAGCCATCAATAAACTCTTTAGTCTGTTAGGAGGACAATGACAGACAGTGAGATCAGGCAAAACACAAAGTGCCTTTCAGTCAATGAAACACTTGCAAAGAAGGAAAGTAAAAAGCCCACAATGCAACTCACTGAAGGGAAAAATCGTATAATATTTTCCACTGGATTGTCAGCAATATCTAACACGAGGTATCTGCAAAGATACAACATCAGTTCATTGGTTAGCAGCGCTTCACACAAGAATACAGCTCACATCAAGCAGAGCGATCGCGGCAAATTTACAAACTTACTCACCTAAATGTATGAGCGAAATTAGGTTTGATAAAATTGGCTTCGATGTCTTGGCGGACACACACGACATGCGTTATGCCCTGTCTCTCAAGGATTGGCAGCTAGACAGCGAGGAAGAAGAAGATGCAATGTGAGCTGTACAAAAATACGAGCATCGAAACGTGTTCTCCGCATTTGTCGGTAACTGAAACGTACCTTGCTTTTCATTGCAGCAGAGTAGGGACCTAAAAACAGTCCCGGTAATATCTCCTGACAATACAAGATAAGAGCAAGATGTCACAAAACAAGCATTTCCCAAAACCTGCAATACGTTTATTCACTCCGTATAACACTAAGCTTCCTCACAAACATCATGTCTTACTACTACGACAGGTGAATGTCTTATAATATCACGTTTAGCAGCCACCGTCAACCAAAGAGGACCTGGATCAAAGTTCTCTCAGTTTATCCATTAATAACACGACATGGCGGCGTGTGTAACGTGAGCCTCGAAATGCGGGTTCTCCGACCTGTAAACAAGTTCACTCTAATTATCGCTGTGTGATATGGTTGAAACCGACAAGGACTTAATATGTTATTAACAATATTTTTAAGATATATATATATATATATATATATATATATATATATATATATATATATCACAAAATAGTAAATCATCTGAACTTATATCTAGAAATAACAAAACTCTTCATTGCGTCAAACAGCATCTTCGGTAATTTATTTTGAATTTTGCCAAAAACAAGACATAATCATGTCATCACAGCGATAGCTTGCCAACAGAAGTTGATTATTGAAATATGGCCACACCCTCAAATAGACAACTCATGTTTTGTTTATACCAACACACTTTCTCACACATTTGTTTGGAATTAACTTGCATTATTGTTGGTAGAGATGGCGACATTAAAGATCATTTAAACTAGGGAGATGAAACCCTGTGGGACCAGAGATGTGGTGCCGAGTGTACTGTAGACTCGCTTCACATACCTGCATGTCTCGTCTCATTGGATAAGCCCAGTCCTGTCAGAGGGGAAGGTAAAAGCAAAGGTTAGAGGCGGAGGAATCTGTCGCAGACAGAGTGGGGGGAATGGCCACCAGTTCACTCTGTGTACATTTCATACGTGGCTAATGTTTGGAGATGCTACTCAGTGTTGGCACAGTGATCAGTAACGTTTAGTTAGCCAAGAAGACATTTCGACGCATGCGCATCCAAAGAAAGACCCAATCGTGTTTCACAGATCCAAAAAAACACATATACTTTCCAGCGTGTATGCTGTTAGCCAATAACGCCGGAGTGGAGGTTAGCTCAGTTTAGCCCGACAGACACAGTCCACACTCCGGCTTGCTGTGCACTCACCAGAAGGTCCTCCTTGGTCGCGGGCAGAGACGGGAACTGAAGTTTGTTCTCCTCGTCCATTCTGCTGTCTGTTCGGGCACCGCGGGCCCGGCTTCACGCGCGGTATCGGTGCTTTCTCGCGGTGGGGCTAGCTGGACAATCGGTGCAATTTGTTTTGAGGCTCCACATGCATGTCCGCCATACTGTCCCCTGACAGATGTGTCACGTGACCGCACGGCTGACAGCAAAACTCGTAGAAAGGAGGAAGCGCGAGAGCAACGGCGACGTCCCGCGGTCGATCTACGAAGCGCACAGCAGTCAGGTTCAACACATCTATAATAACAATATTCTTCTTCTTCTTGTAATAATAAATCAGAATCTGAATTTATTTGCCAAGATATGTTGCACATGCAAGGAATTTGACATGGTGGGTGGTGCATAACATTAAACATTACATATATTAAACAATCAACACAGTGCAAATTATAGAAACATATTCAAATTTACAATCAAATATGAAATAAAGTGCACAAACAAACACACATATAACAGTACTATAAGCAGGTAAAATGTAAGTGTAATGTAAAGTACTGTAAAGTGACAGGTGTATTTAAATAAAGAAACAGAAGGGATGTGCAGGGGAGTGTACCGGAAGGAAATTGATACAATAATAACAACAATAATAATGCTAGTTATTATTTAGATATTGAATGAAGTGAATGAAAATACATTATATTGGGATAACTGGATCGGAAGACTGAATTAACTAACTGTAGTTAGTTAAAAGTAATGATAAGGGTTTTCTTGGTGGACAAATTAACATGATCCACTACTAATGTTACTGTAGAGATAAATCCTCATCTTTTTTTCCCATTTACAGATGTTCGTGTTATTGTGTCCACTCTTACTTATTCTCTGTAGAAATAGAAAAGCCTAAATTTTAAGGAGACTAACTGGAAAATTGTATTTCTACTCGACCTCTCCTTGCCGTGATATCATTTTTTAAATTCAGTATCATTAAGTGCTTAAAGCATGCAATCTTTTAAGATAATTCAGCATCTCTCTCTCTCCTTCCTCAAATATTGTTCTGCTCTCACCCCTATCTAGCATCCATTCTTGCTTAATAATCAGATAAAAAACATCCCTGATCTAAAACAGAGTGCATGAATAATTACTAGATGTTTATTTTGTCTCTCGTGTCACCTGTTTGTTGTCTGTTTGTTGTGTGACAGTGTAGCATTTTGTGATTTTTGTTTAGCATCTGGCCCGTGGGAGGGGACGGCACTTTTTCACAGATCAGAGGGAGATGTAATCTCACAGCAGAACTGCTCCAGTCGGCAAAGGTTTGAATGTGTGTTTTTTCAATGATTGCATTTGTTTGTGTGTCTGAGTAACATGTCATAGCTCTGCAGCACTACTGGTCAGCATTTCTTATCAGTGGCTGCCAGGGGCAGATATATCCCCTACTCTCCCTGAAAATGAAGCTTTGAAGAATGTCAATTACATGCACTTCAATGTGTAACACCTGATATTCTTGCACATCTATCTTCCCTCAACTTTATTTCCTCCTAACAAATCTTTATCCTGCTGCTAAAAAGAAATATCCCTAAATGGTGAGATGTGCGATGGTTTCCCTGTAGCGATGACAACCTGGTGACAACAGCTCTTTGATTTTCAGCTGTTCCAGGCCGAATTAGAAATTAGCAGCCATGCCAGATTCCTTTAGCAGGAATGTTGTGAGGGGGATCACAGAGCGGGAGAGAGTAAACAAAAATGTTGGAGGAAGAAGCTGAGCAAAAAAAAAACAATAGACTACCATGACTGTGTGTGTTACTAAACGTACAATAGACACTCTTAAGCCCTGTTCATATTTAATACATACATTTAAAAAAAAGTCACTAATATGCAGTTTCTTTTTTTAAATTCCAAGTATTTTCTCATCTTTGGCCACATTCTGCCTTCATTATGAATGCAGCAGACAGTTCAAATGAAATGAGGAATGACGCAACAAAGTTACCCGACTGGGCTTGAATGTTGTAATTCCAAGTAACACCCGGATACTGTCGTTTTTAGCAAATCCTACTCAAGTCGTTGACAGTAGTGAATTTGTCTGAGACTATTTTCAGCTGCAGGTGAAACTGACTGAAAATAAACTGCCAGTGTTCATTGTCCTATGAAGAAACATGTCACACAGTGCAGCAGTGTGGCTCGGTGATGTCTTTTTGATAGTGTTTGGACAACAATAGAGCTCTGTAACACAGAAGAATACGATGTATTAGGCTTTACAGACAACACTTGTTAGTAGAACAACTCATTGTTGAGCTTGGTCTACTCACGAGATTTGTTGACAATAGGAACAAATACAGGATATCTGCAACCTAATTATTTAATGCCTTACGGTCTTTGCTTGATCATCACTTGAGAAAAAAATGAAATTGATTACATTTAATTACAATCGTTTATTTTAAAAGTAAATTGATTGCTTTTAAGTGAGTAATTTAAGGTAATCATCAGGGTCATTTAATAGAATAGGTCTTTTCACATTAATAATCCATAAATAGCACTAAACCATGCAAAAAAAGGCATTCAAAAAAATCCATTAATGCCACAATACATCAACCAACAAATAAAAACCTACAAACCCACGATACTATACCTTAGTCCCTTATAGCTTACCATAATAATTAGGTCCATCTGTATCAGAGATAAGTCAACGTCAGGCTAAAACCTTAAGTGGTGGAGATAGTGCTGTAACGCACGTAGAAAGAGAAAGAGCACTCTAAAGTACCTGACACAAATATCATATATAACACAACATATATGACATCTACAGTATAGTGTAACTTCTTCTTACTTAATAATAATAATAATAGAATTAAGTATTTATATGCTCAACGTCGCTAAAAGTGAATGTGTACTAACTCCTCACGATATGTCTAAAGAAGCCATTGTGCTAAATAGATGAAGTGCTTAAAAAAGCTGGCTTGGCTCTGAAACTAAATCTGCTGATGGTGACTGTGTGTTCAAATAATTCAAAACACTTGATTTACATAATTAAAGAGTAAACACAGTTTTACAGACAAATCGGTATCCAATGAACAACTCGTTAACCCTACAACATATAATTATTCATTTACAAACACAACAAGCATAAGATAGTGTTACTTGAATCAACATTTAAGAGGGCGCTGAATAAGAAATGTAGTGTCCTGTGAGAGTGATAATATATAATATATCTGCAGCGAGGTTGAAGTATGATTGTTGGAGTATAACTCACTTCCCAGCTCGTAGTCCTGCTCTGGAATAAAACTTCCCTGTCTTTTTGAATGTTAGACATTTCAGAGGGGAACATCAGCAAACATCTGGCCATGTTGTTGCACATCCCAATGGTGGCAATACAAGCTAATGGGATTTCACAAACAACAGAATACCATCACTTCTTTATTGTCTGAGTAGACTATGCCTCTTTTGACCCCGTTAGAGTTCGACCACAAGTTCTACTCAACCCTGTGTCATCTGAGAATCCACACCATATGAATCATAAAATCTGAATGCAGCAGAAAAAAAGTTATTCTATGTGAAACAAAACTCAGTGCCGCTTTTAGCAGCTGAAACGCTGAGAAGCATGGCATCCATTTTCGTCATCAAAGCTTTCTATGGGATGGATGGGTTGGGACAGCATATAATTATGCAGTGAACTATTTCTCTCTACTTGTCAAGTCTACACAGAAACTGAAACCCTTGTGAGAAATATTTTGAATCAGGTCAAACTGTTAATGCAGAATTCGTTGCTTTTGACTGCAGTCATATATAAAGATGAGCCATCATCAGCTGAAATCTAAATTAGGGTAGAAACTGGCGAGATTTCCGAATTGATTAAGACAGACTATGAGAGCAGTCTGAGAGCTGAAGGGTCACTTGCAGGCAGTGGCGGGCCGTGCATTTTATACCTGAGCCTTCACTGCTGTCCTGCAGCTGAAACACAGCTACGGTTATTATTTGTTTCGTGTCAAAATGAAGCTCAACACCTATAGATACACTAATACGACTGCAGCTGGGACTGCTGCGCGAGGCTTCTGTGAGAGTACCCGCCTGTGTGTGCTTTTGGGCGGCGGAGGGGCTCACGGCAGCACCCGCTGCTCATTCACGACAGTGCAGAACATACGTGCTTTAACGTCAGAGTCAAAACACCGGCAAAGCCTCCAACAACACCAGAAAAAGTCGCTAGATTTGTCGCTAGTAGCTTCAGACAAAAAAAGTCCCCATCAACTACAAGGGAACATTATCATTAGTTCTCCTGGCAGTTGTGGATGAACAATATTTTTTCCGGCTGATTGATGTCGGAGGCTACGGAAGAACCAGCGATGGTGGGAGTCTGGCCAACTCAGCTTTTGGTCAAGCTCCTAAATCTGGCACCCTCCAACTTCCTGCTGACCTGCCACTACCAGGAGCTGACCACCAAGGACTTCAGCCACACGTCTTTGTTGCTGACGAGGCCTTTACACTGAGAAAAGATCTCATGAGGCCATTCCCCGGCCGCATCCTTCCATTCTTCTATTACCGTCTCTCCCGAGCTCGGTTGGTTGTGGAGAATGCCTTTGGGATCCTTTCTTCTCAGTGGAGGATGTACAGGCAAGCCATTGAGGTCCACCCAGAAGTTGCAGAGAAGTGTGTGAAGGCTACATGTGTTCTGCATAACTTCCTGCGGAAAACCACCCAAACAACTGCAGTGAGCATACCGGTTGGAGAGGTGGAGCCACTGCCAGATCTGGGAAGAATCGCTGCCAACAACTTAGCAAGAGAGGCCATCAGGGTGAGGGAGGCCTTCACATCCTACTTCTCTGCTGAGGGAACGGTCCCATGGCAAGACACCGTGTAATGCCCAAGCACATCCAAAACGGCTCTTTTAAGAGACACCCACACATTATTATTGAGCAAACTTCCTGCAATATTACTTAATATATGTAGTAGCAGTGTGTCCTTCACAATACAATCATCCTACACTATAATGTACTAGATAGATAGATAGATATAAACTTTATTCATCCCCAGGGGGAAATTAGTATGTAGCAGCAGCATTTTACAGTAAAATAAAATATAAAATAGTACGCACAACATATACAGTACAATAAAATAACAGAGCAGATATTGAACTTGAAGAAATAGAATAAGAAAAAATAAGAAAAAATAGAATAAAAAATAA